AAGATTGACTGAACTCGGTTGATCCAAACATCCAATTCACGATGGAAGCGGAAACCAACTACCCTTCTCGATGTTCTTGTGCGACTGTGTTCAACTGGACCGCTGCAAATCACATTAGTCAAAAAGGCCACCTACACGAACGAAGTCCCACACTTCACCAGCAATCACCCAATGTGTCACAAACGCATTTGCGCTTGTACTGTTTTCAAAAGAGTTGAAACACACTGCAGCACTCCTGCTGACAGAAGAGTTGAACAACAATACTTTGATGAACTCTTCCGAGCCAATGGATACCCGATCTCATTTATCAAACGAAGCAGGCGTCGAGTAAACAGATGACGGCCGATGCAACAACAACCCGAAGTCTGGAGGGCCATTCCCTACATAAAAGGAGTCGCTGAAGCAGTTTCACGACTGTTACTACCCGCTGGAGTAGGCATAGTCCATTGACCTGAGGCAAAAATATGCCGCCGTGTGATGCAACCCAAAGACAGACTGTCCCCTACCGAAACCTCTGCAGTTGTCTACAAGATACGCTGCAACGACAGAGACTGTAATTACGTAAGAGGAACAGACCGGAAATTGCAGACCCGCCTACACAAACACAAACGGGCGGCTCAGAGACTAGACTCAAACTCACAGCTTGCAACGCACATTGGAGCCACTGGACACGGCTTCGACATCGAAGGAGCAACCATCATTGGCCGAGGAAACTCAACAGCCGAAAGGCTGACGCTTGAGGCATGGTACTCGGATTCCAACTCAGTCAACAGGCATCTAGACCTCTCCGCGGCCTACAAATTTTTACGCCAGTATGTAAGCAAAGGACGGAACAAGGCCAAGCCTAACGTCCGAATTGCAAACGAAAAGGAACCCACTACGAACTGGCCAGAAGAGGAGGCAGGATCACTGGCCCCTCTTCCCTCGGGACAAGGCATTACACTAATTACTTGGACGAGGAAGAAGGCGTGTCAAGCACCAGATCAATTGGTTTATTGTTCTTAGCTTTCGAACTCTTCATCATCTCTGAAGATGGATTCCTGTAAGAGTTCGAAAGCTCAGAACAATAAACCAATTCATCTGGTGCTCGGCACGCCTTCTTCCTCGTCCATGCAAATACCTGGATCGCGAACTTTCTCATTCATTCGGGAACACTAATTACTGTTCATGAACCCGAACGCCAGCCGTCTTCACTGAGAGTCAATAAGCGTTTACCACTATAATTGCCCCCCCCCGACCTCCATCGTTTTGGTTGATGTTTCTTTCCTCTTGACGACCGCTGACAGTTGATTGGCCTTTGGCTACTATAATTCCCCTCCTTTTGGTTGTTGCTTCATATATCTGAAAATAAACTCCTGTAAGAGTTCGAAAGCTCAGGACAATAAATCAATTGATCCGGTGC